ACCTTTATACTCACACACAAACATATAAGTACAGGGTTAGTTGGTTAATTCACTGAGATATATATATATATATATATATATATATATATATATATATATATATATATATATATATATATATATATAGTATGTTATGATTTCATTTTAAACTACCATATTCCTGTGTTCTGATTGATCATCATAGGTTACGTAACATTCACCCTACTAAGGGGGGTTTGGTTGGTTTTGAACTCATCATTTATTTTCCATTCAACATCATTTGATAATACACAGTGTTGAAACAAAATTGCAACTTTGTGCTGATCTTATAAATTTGAGATATAAACATACACACACAAATTGCAGCATGCTGAAGTCATCTTGGTAGGGACCGTGGTTGTAGGAAGGTCAATGTTTCTGCACTTTTAATTTATTTGTTCTTTTGGCAAATATCATTTTTTGCCAAAGATTGAATTTGTCAGCAAATTATATATATATATATATATATATATATATATATATAGCTGCATATTTGTTTCTGTATCTATTCTTCTATTCACAACCATTTAACTTGATTGATTTCTTTTTTTTTTTTTTTTTTCTATTTTCCAAATGTTGCTTCAGCAATACTATTAAAATTGACCTGCATATATTGTTTACATTAGCACACCTTATTTCAATAAGTTTTGTATTTATAAATAGAAATATTGATTTTTTTTTTTTTTTTTTTTTTTTCAATCTGCTGTTAAACTTTTTTTTTTTTTCTTTTTTTTTAATGAGGTCTGTTTTCTGTCAAGTATCATTTGAGATCTCTTCATGATATATGAATATAAATGATACTATTTTTTCCTTCTGTTTTACTCTATATAGTGTGAATTATTTAATCTTAGATCAAGTTACTAAATTGTAAATTTTCATACAAATGTTGAAAATTATTAAAAGAAACTTGTTTGATATCATAATTGCTTTTTAAATGCTAAAGTTTCTCTATCAGTTTTACTTTGATACTTTTTCTCAGAAAAGGTGTGTGTGCATAATATATACACATGTATGCTAAAGGTAATCAGTAAGTTCATAACTTCATGATGAGAAAAGCATTACTTTTTACACAAAAATCATCTTACTAGTGCACGATAGTGAATACAAGACATTATCCAATGAAAATTGCAGATCAACATTCAGCTCATAACTCCTTGATTTGTATTCAGTATAATTTCAATATAAATTACTTACTTTGATTAGTGTCAGCTTGGAAGATTGTGTAGCACCAATCCTTCATATGAAGGTGAGCTTGCTTTGGAAATTGGCATTAATCAATTGGGTTTTTTACTGTTGTGGATTAGGCTTTTTTTTTTTTTCAAATCTTTTGTGTTATGTCAAAATAAACTCTTCCATTGTGGAACTCCTTTTAAACTTTAATTCAGTTGAGAAACTGAAAAGAAATTAAACTTCTAATCTCGATTTGAGATTTTATTTTTGTATTATTTTCAAATTGTTTAATTTACGAATACTAAGGATAATTTTCCCTGTATCACTCCATTAAATACCTGACTCTTCCTGCTATCTTTACAAAGGACAGATCAAACTTAAAATGGAGTACTTTGCCATATATAGACAGTAGCTGCTCTGTTTTCACTTTGCAATCTCAATAGTCCAAAAGCATCTCCACGGCCTTGTGGGTGATGAATTATTTTCCACCCCTTCCCCACAGATGAAATATTGCAAGCCTCTCACTGCTTTATTGCTATTTCCATTGAAATTGTTCAGACAAACTATATTTCTTAGTTCCACCAGTTCTAACCCTCACAGCTAAGAGCCACCATGCCACGCCCATTGTAGTGACCCCCCCCTCCTTGGACCCTTATACAGGGTGAGCATCATTGTGTAAAAAAAAAAAAAAAAAAAAGGGAGTACACTTTTTTCAATCTGGGTTAAACTTAACTGCAAATTTTTATTTGCATTTACCATCCTGGGTTTCTATCAATCTATGGTAGTTAAGGCTTGACAAGTGTATAATAAACGGGTCAGTGTTCGTTTGATTTGGTTGATTTTGTTTAGCAGCATATCAACCTCTATGGGCTATTTAATGCCAGAATCTAAATATTTTCAACACAATTTTATGGCTTCAACTATATATATTGTACATGATCAATTGTAGGGATTATGTATTGGTATAGACCTATTTCTTTAAGGTACAGCATTATGTTCATGATTTCATTATTTTCAAATAGATTTCTCGTGTTGGTATTTCTCTTACAATTGCTAAGTAGATTCAGTTAAAATGCATTTCATCATGAGGGGTCAGTTGTTTTTAATTGTTACTTCATATTCTCACCTAATGACCCAGGTAATTTAAGTGCTTAAATTTACCTGACTTTCGCAGCTTTGTCCTATAAAACTATGTATTTGAATTTGTTTTAATATTTACATAAGTGTTTATACATTCCTTGCAACAAGAATTAATATTTGAATATTTAAACAAATGATTAAGTGGGGGGATCACTTTTCTTTTACAAGTAGTGATAAATAGATCCTTCACTTTTTGCCGTAATAGATTTCATTTATTTCTCTAATCTCGAAAACCTACATGTAAACAGGTTTGCTAAATTGGTTACTTTTGAAATACCAACATTACTAAATTATTAAATTTTTACTACTTTGGGATACTTTTCAAAATAAACTTAATTTAATTTTTTTCAGTTCATATTCTCTCCAGGATATATATATATATATATATATAACATGTTTCACTTTTATCAAAACCAGAGATTGTTTTCTCTCAATCCCTGGCAAAGCTTTAATAAAAGTGAAACTTGTTAGATTGGTACCTGTTTCCTTTTTGTTCTTTTATTTTATCATCCTGTTGGATTCCAATCCAAATTTAGTCTTTAACTCATAACTGTATATTGACAAATGCATCAGATGCAAATTGCTTGTTCATGTCTTGTCAGGAATTTTTCCTCCCTTTCTGATTAACACTGCTTGCTTAAAAGGGCAGAGTTTAGAACAACCTAAACATTGGAATTATAAAAGAAAATCTTTTCACAAATTAATGACTGCATTCACCTCCCTACCTACCTACCTTTTATTTTCTTTTTTTTAAATGTTCCTTTTAAACTGACTGGAATTGACACAATGCAAAAATAACAGTTGCTCACCAGATTTATTCAACCTATAAAGTGAGGTGATTCTGAGACAATTAGAAGTCCTACCAGAATTCATTATTGGCAGCCACAATTTTAACAGCATAAGATATGCAGATAATACAGTGTTGATAGCATACATGGAAAGAAAACTACAGAAACTCCTACCGAATATAGTGGGGGTAAGTGAGGAAAAAAAAAAAGGACTAAACATCAATTGCAAGAAGATAGAATGTATGGTTGTCAGTACAACATGCAAATTACAAAGTGAAGATACCAACATCAAGCAAGTACAATAATTTAAATATATGAGAAGTGTTTTAATACAAAGTGCATTGGGATAGCGAAAGATGAACATTCAACGCTGGAATAACATCAAACACTGCTCAGTCGTCTACAATAACACGGACAAAACCCCCTCGGCCATTGTTTATTATATTGTTATTCTACACCTTTGTTCTAAGTTGATCTCTGTACTGGGATCACCCCAGTAGACTTTGCAATAGTGTGTAAACAGGTGGTCAACCCAGCTGCACTTAAGATGTGCACATGTGAGACAACTGATGACCGGAAGCTATATAAGCACCCACCTGTGAGGGAGAAGTGAGTCTATTGTGAGGAAATCCATATATGGAGAAAACCCCCAATGCAACACACCCACTTGATGATATTAAATTGAAGTCTGGAGTTAAATAAACAATAATTTTATATATAAGAGATTTAATGTTCTTATTTAGTCTGTACAATACATATTCAAATCTTGAAGGAAGTTTGTTAATAAGAAATATATCCATCTCAATATATTGATATGTGTGTATATTTTTTTTTCATGTTTCCCTTTTAGAGTACGCACAAAAAATTACTTTCCTCAATTGAGTTCTAAGGTGTGAAGAGCAACTAGTTAATTCATTTTATATGATTTTTTTTTTTTTTCTTTGCTCTTAACTTTGTGTTGCCAATTATGATTTGATAGTTGTTTTCTCTTTTAATTATGTCAGGTTTTTTATTGCCTTAATCAAATCTTAATTCTCTTCAAATAATCTCTGTAGACTTGTGATCAGCTGGTCATAATTAAAAGAAAATGTGAACATATATTTTCAATCATTGTGGATAGATCAATTTATTGGGTGCTAACTTTTGAAATTTCATCCAATTTTCATGTGACCAAGTTGTCATAAAAATGAAATCCTCACTTACAATGAGGAACTATTATTTGAAAGGAAAGAATTATTTAAAGGTGATTTATAGAATTAAATATTTTAGAAGCATTTGACTTTCTCTTTTTTGATAAATAGATAAAATTCTTTTATTTCTTGTCAACTTTTATCAGTTCATTTCTTATGAGGAGGCATGGTGGAGTAATGGATAGCAGCTCGGATTGAGGAATTGGAGAGCCAAGTTCAAATTCCAATCAGATCCATTACATTCACTTACATGCTAATACCATTGAGAAAGGTATGAATCCTCTTCTTTTCCTCCCAGCTATGGGTAAATAGCAGGACAGACCGGGTTTTATAACTCTGGATGGTAACTGGTCTACTGCAGAAAGAAATGGCAACCTACTGCAGGGGAAAAATGTTTCATCAGTCCTTGAAAGATACATGATTGCTCAAGCATGTATCACGCATGGCATATAACTGACTGAAAATAGTTTTGTGGTGATCAGCTCAGAAAAATAAAATTAGCAGACTAAAATTCAATTCCTAGTTGAGTGCACTTTCATATTAATGCCTATAGAAAAGGCATGAACCTGTCTCTCTCTGTGAGCATTGATTATTAATCACTCAAACTTTGTCATGTCACTGATATACCATGATAGAAAGCAAGAGTAGCTAAAGCTGTATAAGAGTATGAAATTGACTCCTTAAGAGTAGAAGAATGATAAACAAGCCTGTTTCTGTTGCTCAGTTGGTTAAGGCATCATCCATGGTGATTGAGTCTGTTTTGTCTCACACAAGGCCAGAGTGGTGAGGAACTCTGAAGATTAAACTTGAATTGTGTATATATAACATACAGTCGTTCAAAATGCCTGAACATTTGAATAGCATGGTGTGTATGTGTGTGAATATATGTATAAACTAAATATTAGAATCAGTTATTCTCATCTTTTTCTTTCTTTCTTTTACTTTGCATTTAGCATCGCTTTCTCTGTAAAGTATGTTTTGATACCCAAATATTGGGATGATTTATTTTTTGGAACAGGAGGCTTCATGGTCAGGCCAATAACTCTTCAGCATTCCTTCATACATATAAAGTTAGAATGTAGTCGGGAAAATAGTTTCTGCCATCTTTCACTGTTCAAATGCTGAGCTTCTGCATCTTGTATAATTACAAAAATCTATTGTCACCATCTTTTGTAATGGAAACCAGTTGAATTAAATTGTCTGTCATTGTGTAAAATATTGTACCAATTTTATTCCCTTTGGTCAATAAATATTGAATCAATGTATATCAAATGTTTTGATGTTTATTGATGATAGATTTTGTCAAAAGATCAAGTGTATTCATGCATTGGCTCAAAAGATAAATATTTACAAAGATGAATCGTGTTTCTGGCATTAATTACTTAAAAAAAAAATCTACTTGATTACTTTTAATAATTCAATCTTTATGAATCTCACTCCTGTTCCACTTTTGCCATTTTGTGTGTGTGTGTGTTGTTAGATTTTCACTCTCCTTTGCTTTGGGTTTTTTCTTCTTTTTTCCTGTTATTTTATTTAAAGAATAATTTCCTGAAGACAGTGTCCTGCCTTGTGTAGATGATTATCTGCATTTCACTGCCTGAATTGACTGTTTTCACTCCAATTCAAATCAGGCACTTTATTCTTAATTAATAAGTTATCTTGTCCCTTTGATTCATGCTTCCCCCACTCCACCCCATAATCCCTTGCATCTTAGTGGCTTTAATACCTTGCTTGGCATAAAGTCTAAATTAGAGTAAAATTAGGTTAAGAGGAATGGTGCAACATAATCTTCTGATAAGGAAGTGCCTATTTCTTTAAAATTTTAACTGGATTGGAATACTGATCGTGTGTACTGATGGGAAAATGTATAAAATCTTTTTCCTTTTTTTTTTTTAAATTGGAATAACACTATCTTCAGGCCAGACTTACATTTGACTGTATCCCATTTCCATATGAACACTCTTTTTTCTTCTTTATGTGCTGTGTTCCGTCAGGACATAGGTGATCATGGCTCTCCACAATTTCCTGTTATTTGTAGCTCTTAATAAATTTCCTCTTTCTACTAAACTGTTTTACCATCCATTTACTCAAGCACATTAAGTATGTTAAGCATTGTTTTCTTCTGTCCCTCTTGCCCTCAATCTGTCTTGTGGGTATCAGATTTTCCAAACCCTCCCTTCTTAGTGTGTCCCAGAAATTTCAACTGTCTCTTCCTAATGTTAAGTATAAGTTTCCTTTTTATTTCCATTTTCTCTAAAACCTTGTCATTGATCATATGTTTGGTCCATGTTATCCTCAGCATCCTTCTGTAGAAACACATTTTTGTTTGTTTATCATTGAGGAGATTGTCTAGCATTCAGTGCCATCTAGGAGGACAGATATGTAGCAGTTCAGTACTGTTTTCTTTGTTTCTTAATACTCTGCTTAGTTTTTGTATTGCATCTTTGGCTATCCCAATGTGTCTTTGGATTTCAATGTCACACTTTCCATTCTGTGTTAAAATACAGCTTTATAATTGCTTTACTTTAATATTGTATCACAGTTGCCTTGTGTATTATAGTGTTCATTTATTGTATCCTTCTTCTTATAGTGTTCATTTATTGTATCCTTCTTCTTATAGTGTTCATTTATTGTATCCTTCTTCTTATAGTGTTCATTTATTGTATCCTTCTTCTTATAGTGTTCATTTATTGTATCCTTCTTCTTATAGTGTTCATTTATTGTATCCTTCTTCTTATAGTGTTCATTTATTGTATCCTTCTTCTTATAGTGTCGTGTTCATTTATTGTATCCTTCTTCTTATAGTGTTCATTTATTGTCCTTCTTCTTATAGTGTTCATTTATTGTATCCTTCTTCTTATAGTGTTCATTTATTGTATCCTTCTTCTTATAGTGTTCATTTATTGTTCCTTCTTCTTATAGTGTTCATTTATTGTATCCTTCTTCTTATAGTGTTCATTTATTGTATCCTTCTTCTTATAGTGTTCATTTATTGTATCCTTCTTCTTGTTCATTTATTGTATCCTTCTTCTTATAGTGTTCATTTATTGTATCCTTCTTCTTATAGTGTTCATTTATTGTATCCTTCTTCTTATAGTGTTCATTTATTGTATCCTTCTTCTTATAGTGTTCATTTATTGTATCCTTCTTCTTATAGTGTTCATTTATTGTATTCTTATTATTATTGTTGTAATTGGTAATTCTGTCAATTTCACTTAAAGATGCCCATTTATTCAACACATTCACTCCCCTGCCTTCCTTTTTTTAAAATCTCAAATTGTTTTTTATTCTGAATATATTTATCTGTATAAGAAAACTTAGTAACCATTCTCATCAGATCACTGAAGTTAAGCAGCAATGAGCCTGCTTAGTACTTAAATGGGTGACCACTTAGGAGCATTTAAGTACCCTCCATAACCTGCAACCTATGAAACAGACGTAAAAAAGCTTAGTCAATAACTACAGTGGGTGTCAGCTATTAACATTACACTCCTCCAAAATGACTTTCCTAAAGTTGGAAATTGGTCACAATGCAAAAAACATCTTGTGTTTATCAACTAGTGGAATTTCATTTCTCTCTCTCTCTCTCTCATTGTTACATTTGTATGTATATTTGTTTTACTAATTGTAACAACTGTTATGAGACAGAGGTAGTATTTCTTTTAAAGTTGAGTTTCATGATTTTCAAGTAAATATGTTTTTTTAGTTGATTAACTTTCACATTTGTGGAATTACTGACACAAGTTTTACTATTACTTATATAATTTATTTCAAAAGTTAAACTAATTTGTATCTATTATAAAATCAATAAGTTTATAGCCAAATGCTGTAAAAAAAAAAAAAACATTTGGCATAACAAATAGTTATCAACATAATCTCATCTCTTGTCAATGCACTTAATTTAGTGGTGAATATTAATAACATAGTTCTAGATCAATGGTTGGCAAATAGAGGTAAATTCTCCTGGATAGGGTAAAATTGAAATTTCTTGGTTAATGAAGGAGTAACTTGGCCTTATCAAAAGTTCACAACTTCTGCACAACCAACCCAAAATATTTTTTTCTTTTTTTTTACAGAGGTAATACTGATGCAGTTAGATCAAATTGAGTTAATTTTAGAAAAAATTCTTTGCATTATCTTTTCCAAATTGCATTTTTGTGAGATTTTCTTGTCTTGCTAACTGTCCTATAGTGAAGTGTGTGCTTCTGTTGAAATTTGTAATTATGATACAAAGCTATAAATTTCTGTTCCTATTTTCAAAGTGTTATAAATTACAATATATTTTTAAATATGAACTACAATCATAATTTAATATTTTCATTTTGTACATTTTCAAATTTCATTTCTCTTTTCAAATTACTTTTTTCTTTTGTTATTGGTAAAAAGATATCATTATCTAATTATCTTCCCTTTTCCAAGATAATGTTAAATGTGTATATATAAAGTTTTGAGTAACTGTATATTCCTGGAAATGGCTGTGTTGCGGGTAATGGCATAATTGGATATTATACAGTAAAAATTTTAAAGCAATAGCTTATTTGGTTACAGACTTTTTGATCTACACTGGTAAACTAACATTTTTCCCCAAAATAAGAGCATTCTAATCTAAATGTCTACTTTTCTTTCATTCTTAATCATTTAAATTACTTGTTGGTAATATTTTGAAACTTTAATTAGCAACTTTAGGCAACAATGGCTTTGATTGGGGTCATAGAAGAGGATGGTAAAGTGTTTAATCTGGCATTTTTTTTACTCGCAGTATAGCTTGCAAAATTTGACTCTTGGAGCAGCCACCCGCTTGACCAAAAGGGAATAAGATAATAAATAGAAATTTTGGGGAATAAGTGACACTTGACCAGGCACTTCCATTTTCAGTCTTATAAACGGTCACAGTTGGGATATTTCCAGACTGCCTGTTGACAGGTACATGCTGTCCATCAAGAGAGAGGAGTTGCCAACTGCACATTGTAATGTAGGGGTGCTTAGAGAGGTGGTAGGAGACAGTCAGAGTTGAATGGAAAAGCTGATATGTTGGTCTGGCATAGCAAAAGTAGTTATTCCAAGTGTCACTTAGCCCCCTACCCAGACTGCAAGTGAATCCCTAAATAAACAGCCTAATATGTTGGAGACTGGGTTTGAGCCTGTATTTCTAACATTGATGTTAGTTACCACTCTTTGTTTCCTTGTGAATGTGCAATGAACTATTGCCAGATTTTGTGCTCACCAGTGCAAATGAGAATATACCAGGGTTCATGAATGGGTTTCAGGGTGTCCATGAGGATCAGATAAAAATTAACATTTATATTTGCTATAGAGCCCTTGTTCCAATCAATGGTTTTCTCACTGAAAGAAAAAAAAAACAATGAATCCTGCCACTGCTTGAAATAAAATGCACCCAGCCACTACTTACAGTGCCAACCACTAGGCGTCTTTTGTCATCATTCTCTGCATGTCTGCCACTCCATAAGGGCAAGAGATAATTCTCATTTTCCATGGTTTATCACGGCTTGATTATCTTCTCATATAGTAGAGAGGATTAATTGACCACAATTTCTTTCAAGTGTGGCTGGTTGAAAATTGATGTCTGTATGAGGGTGCAATATGGAGAAATGCATGTATAAGTATTGTGAAAAATCAGACTGAGTACCTGCTTGTCTGACTATCTGTCCATGAAGGGCTAGTTCTTATAATGGTCTGTGACTCAAAAAAACTTTAAGAACCACTGGAATAGACACAATGTGGGATTATGTCTGGTCAGTGAAAAGCAGAGTGACAAAGACTGTATGTTTATATATTTTCAAAATGGTGAAACATTTTGTCAGCCATTCTAAGACAATTATTCTTTTTATTACCATTTAGTATCGTCTCTGATCATGCTCAATTACCGTCAGAATTTTAGAAATACCAAAGTTGGACCTGGCCCCAAATCAGTTCGGGACCACTGATCTACAGGATCAAATATTCTTTGTCTTCTAATTTTTAATACAGTACATTATAATTATTATGTTTTATTATTAATTATTATTGTTAATTTTTGTATTTTGCCTAATTTATAAATTAAACAATGGCTTATCATTCCATCACATTGAAACACTTCTTCCTGTTTGATCACTGAAGTTAAGCAATGTTGAGCCTAGTCAGTTCATTGATGGATGACTGTTTGGGAAGACCCAGTGCTGTAAGCTTGGATAACTGCTTAGAATTTAAAATTGAAGAACTAAGTTCCAATTCCAGTTGGATTCATTATATTCACTTACATGCAAGTACCATTGGAAAAGGTATAAATCCACCACTTTCCCTTCCCCAGCTATATGGTTAATTAGAACTTGTATCAATAAAAATTATCATCTTCAAAAAAATTCTTAAAATTTAAAAATATTTTTCTGTATTTTTATAACCTGCAAAAGATTGATAAGCTGTAAAAAACAAAAAAAAAAAACAAAGATGAGATATTGTTACTAATAATATTGTTTATTGATAAGGTCAAATGATTATAATGCAGTGGAGGGATACCAAGTAGGAAGATTGTTGCACCAGTTTTCCAAATGGAAAAGGCTTAATCTTGAAAAGTCTATTGAAATACTAGTGTTTACCTTGATTTGAATACCATTCTCTGTCACCATGTGGAATGATACTGGTATCTCAGCTAGAAACTGTCTTGTCCTTTGAGAAAAATAAAATCTAATCATTTTTATGAAATAGGCAAGTAAACATTTCTCGCAAATTTCCTAAATGGCCGATTGCTTAATATGCAGAAATATGTACAATTATCATTGTCATTTTCCCTACGTATCTTGTGTAGGTGAATCATTGTTTTACTCTGATTGTGAACAAAAGCGTTATCATAGTCAGATATTGTAATTAAACTCATCTACTCAGTGTTAACTTTTTAAACTGTCTTGTTTGAGTATACTTGATTCTGCTTGATCCTGTGATCATACTTGTAATTCCTACTTGTTTCTTTTGCTCCTTCCCCCTACTCTCATGACTAGGTGAGGGTGTGTAGCATGTAGTGTGGCACAGTTGTAGCTCAGTTGTTGTAGGAGGCAGATGCCAGTGGATCATCAATTTTCAGAAATCCATGATGTCTAATGCAGAGTTAAATACACACTGGGGTCATAAATTTTAGTCTCTAAAATTGACTTTTTTTTTTTTCTTTTTTCTTTTTCTTTTTCTTTTTTTTTTCTTTCTTTTTCTTTTTCTTTTTCTTTTTTTTTTTTTTTTTTTTTCTTTCTTTTTTTTTTTTTTTTTTCTTTTTTTTTTCTTTTTTTTTCTTTCTTTTTCTTTTTTTTTTTTTTTTTTTTTCTTTTTTTTTTTTTTTTTTTTTTTTTCTTTTTTTAAACAGATTATGAGGAAATTGAAAAAATATTACAGCCATTTCTTTGTTTCTTTCATTCATTCATTCCATCTTAACCTGTTGTATCTCAACTCTATCATGGTTATTTATTGATTTATTTTCATTTATTCAAATTATTTACACATACACTGGGATGAATCACCCCCATTCCATTTGTGTTCCATTAGGAAGAAGGGAGTTCATTTTAGACAGCTTATTTGCAAGAACCACTTCTTTGTGGAACAGGCTCCCAAGTGGATACTTCTCTGATTGCTGCAGTTTTAACCTATTCAAGTCAATCATTATCCTTCTGACATATCTTCATTTCTTACCTTATGTCCATACATCGTTCAGTAGCTCTCTACCTTAAATAGTGAACAATAGTATACAAAAATAATTTTGAAGAGAAATATATCTAAAACTTGTTTTATAGGATTTGAAACCTTGTCTATCAATTCTCATAATATTTTAATATTTTTTTTCCAATTTATTCATTTACTCCACAATTTATCTGCCACATGTCCTGCCCCCCCCTCTCCAGTACTAAGTGGGCTATTCCATTATTATAGCAACAGAAAGCATTACTTGATGCCAATTAAGCATGCCTTCTGTTACCCATACTTGCATTAATAAGGATTAGCTGTGAAAAATGAAAATAAGCCTGAAGAATTTCTTATTTCAGATACACAGACACAAATTATTGGACTTTTTGCCAAATAACTTTTTGGTTTTACTTATACTGAAGAAAGACAGCTTGAAGAATTTGACACTCACAGGACATGTTGAAGAGAAACATCAACTAACCTAAAGAGCTTGTGTAAATAGATTACAGAACTGGGACTGAAGAAAGGAAATGAGATAAACTTTGTTTAGTACAGTGAAGAATAGGAAGTTGTGGAGACCCATGATCACCCATACCCTGAAGAAATGGTACATAGAAGAATTCAATTAAGATTGAATACTTGCATGATGATTGTGATCGTTTGTGGATAAAGATTATCAGTAGGTCAATGTCAGGAGTGCTGTAACAAAAAGATGGATGAAATATCTGGTATATGTAATAAGAAAGCAGGCTTAGAGAATATGACACTCATGCAACACCTTCCATACCTTGCCACATCCTAATTAAAACAATTTAAATCTGAATGATTGACTTGTTTACCACTTAAATTTAAAGCTGGGTGGTTCAATCTTGGGTTTTTACACACATGTTGATAATTGAAAAGGAACTTATAGGTGATGCAACAGATAATTTCTTTAAATGTGTGTGTGTGACTGAGAATTCAAAAATAAAATAAAAAATTCTGTTAATTTTTTTTGTCAGATTTTGAGGAGTAGGTTAGACTGAAATCTTTTCAACACACCCTTTGTATAAAACCAAAATATATTTTTAAATTCGACACAACTTAATTTTTTCCATAATTCAATCTGTAGTTAGTGTTTACTGTTTAAATGGTAACTTTCAGTTTCAAACTAGAGAACTAAATTAGTTCAAATGTTTTTCTTATAATATAACTTTGTACTTACAGAAAATATAATTGGAGAAAAATGAATGAGTAATTATCTCAAACATTTTTGGAGAAATTCGGCTTTAAATCAACTCTGTCCTTACTCCATAATGAGTTGACTGATTTTCTAATATTGCCTTTTAAAAACCTTAAAATTCCATTCATTCATTTAAAAAGTCCCTGCTTTCTAAGAATGCAACAAAATAACTTGGACATTTTCTTTTAAAAATGTCTTCAAAGTAGATGAAAGTTTTTTTTAAAAGTAGATTTTATTTTCTACAACTTTTGCTGAAAGTTTTAACATTTGATTTTATGTTTTTATTTAAATGATTCATGAAATTCAAATTTACTGTTTGATAGATTTTTTTATCTTTTTAATCAGTGAAATTAAAATACGCTTTTTCGGCATTATGTTTAAGTTAGTTTAAAAAAAAAAAAAAAGGAAAGGTCATATATTTGCAATTATAAAACTTAAATTAAAATTATAGAAACTTTTTATAGTTAGTTCCTTTTATTTAAAGTTAATTTTTAAAAATTTTTTTTTTTTTTTTTAAGAAAACCTGCACTGAAACAAGGATTTCCCCACAAAACTGAAATATTTTTAAATTATTGATTTACTTGAGTTAAATATTGTTTCTGGTTTAAAATTTAAAAAATATGAAATGGAATTTTTTTTTTTTTTTTTTTTTCCTCTAGTTTTCAACTTGTGTCAATTTTTATCACCCCCCTCCCCCCAAAAAATTATATCTATTTTTATAATGCAACTCGTTTAAGAATTTAATTTTTTTACCTGTAAATGACAGTTAAATAAATGTTATTAAAATTTGCCGTTTAATCTTATGTCTAAATTTTATTTTCCGTTCAGATTATAAAATCCCTTTTTTTTTTTTTTTTTTTAAAAAATGAACAATCAGTTTTTGACAGATGACACGTATTTATTAATAACGACCACAATCACTGCTATTTATTTGTCTACATTATTTAAAAAAAAATAATAATGATGTTTTTTCTCCATCTTTTGTTTTCGCTTTTGATGATAGCTTCGTTTTTTTTATTTGTTTTTTGTTGTTTTTTTTACTATTATTTTTAGCATGAAAAATCCTTAGCGAATCCTAGCAGTCATTTTAAAATCTGCTCCAACCCGGCTTAAAACACAGTGATTTATCAGGGAAAGCTTGGGAAAAATCTAGGTTAACTTTGCTTCTTTTTCTACAAAGGTGGAAATAAATCTAGTGAGTGTTGAAGCAAGTTATTTGCTTCCTCTCCTTCGTTGTAACAATTGTGCCAGTTGTGGGAGGGAAAACGGCAGCCATTATTATTCTCAACTCTTCAATCTACTTCCGCTCTCGTCGTACAACAAAAATATTTTCTTTCCTCTTTGCTTGAAAATACAAACAATTTATCAAAAAAAAAAAAAAAAAAAAAGGTTAAAATTTATACACATATTCTCTCTTTAGTTTGTTTGTCTCTGGCTTTTAATTATTTTAAAAATTATTTTATTATTACACTCGATAACCAGTTCTTACGGTTTCAATTTTTATCCAAGAGATTTTTAAAACTTTTAAAAAATCACAGAAAAAAAAGCTATTATTTATTTTGAAATAAAATTCTTTCTAGCCAGTCGATTTAAAAACGTTTAAAAATGACTCTTTCATTTAAATAGTTTACGAATAATTTTAATTTCTATTTTAGAAATATTCCTTTTTTTTTTCTCTACAAGATGCCTTTAAAAATGTAACTAAGGATGCATTGGTTTTAAACTTTTAAGTGGATTAAAAAATGCATTTTCTTTTTAATTAAAGTAATTTTTATATAAACTTATCATTGTTTTGTATTGTAAAATAAATCGATTTTTTTTTTATTTACAAGCTAAATTTTGTTTTTACGATTGCATTTTTAGCTCTAAACAAAAATAAATGAAATTTATTAAAATATGTACAAACAAATCCAATCCAATCCAAAGGAAACTAAATTTTTTCATTCTTTTTTTAAATTACCTACATTCATTAATTTTCTTAAATTTATTGGATAATGACTGGATTTTTATTAAAATAGTAATTAAAAAGAAAAACATTTTTTTTTTTTATTACAAATTGAGTTTTACATTGTGTTCAAAATATTAGGAACCATCTTTAGAAAAATCTAATTTTTTACTTTCATTTTTCTAAATTTACAAAATAAATATTTGTGATTTATATAGTAATTATTTTTATCCTTTCTGGGTAAAATATTTGAAATCCTTTCCTGGCAGTCTATCTTTGTATCTGCCTACGGTCACATTTATTATAGAAACTATCTGATGTCTAATGTCATGACATGTGGTCATGGGTCCACCATTC